CAAGTTTGATTTTTCACAGTCTGGATGTTTGAGCCTTTCTATCAGGAATTTCCTTTCTTACAGAAGGCAGCTCTCTTCCAATAAAACCATACCCTATAGCTTTATAGGTAAAAATACAAAGGAATAAAAATGTGTTCTGAATCTTTTTGATGAATATGCATACTGGCTTCAGCAGGCTTACCATACTTACAGAACTAGGAAAAAGAAGTTGTAGCATTAGCTTTTGGATTAGCTTCCACAGACTTTGCATTAATATGTTATTTTTTAATTGTTGCTGACATCCAAATATCTGTCTCCTTTTTTGACTATTGGAGTTTGGTTCCAAGCTTAGTGTAGTACCAGTAGAATTTCTAATACTATGATAGACCTTTGGGCTCCATCAGCTAGTCTTGTAAACAAATTTGATTTGCATACTTTCATTGTTACAAGATGGTATATACTGAATAAAAAATACACTAATTTTTTCAACAAGCRTCAGTCCAGTGAGTTAACCTGTGATGGATGCATCATTTCAGTTAAAATCTTAGTTGACTTTGTCCTGAACCAGATTATGGAGTCTTTGCCAAAGAAAGCTATTGTGGACAGACAGCAAACTAGCACAGAAGTGCTTCTAAACTACTTTGAGATTTGCCCTAGAGAGTAGCCTCAGATATTATTTATAAAGAGGCAGATCATTCAGCACAAGTAGTTACATTTAAAAAAAAAAAACAAACAAACCAAAACTACACAACAATGAAAAACTCACTCACAAGTGTAAAGCAAAGTAGGTTTGATAATAATCTATATTTTTACTGCTCTGTAACCTATAAGAATCAATTTTGTTATCTCTGGCTTCTTACTTATGATCAAGTTTTTCATCCCAGGTCTAATCCTAAAAAGATGCTGAACTTCCTGAAAGATCCTGAAGGTAGATAGTCTCCAWCTGACTGGAATGGATCAGGCCCTTTGAGTGACTGAACTATGAATGTGGAAAATCAGGTATACAATCCTGGTATCATAAAATATGAAAGTGAAATTATTCCCTGGTGCTTTCCTGTGGACCACATGTTTCTAAACCTTAAAAAGATTTATTTCCCATTTTTCTTGCATAATCTGCCATATTCATTATTTGCAATATCCCATAAAGGAATTAAAGAGGAATTAAAGTCTGGGAGCATCATATCCATCACTGTGGTACGAACTGATGCCAAATTCTAGAAGTCATTTAGCCTTTTATGAATAAGCAGTGGCTGTTTTCACTTTGTTTCTCAAAGAATAAAGAAAACACAATACCCCAGAAGACCTTCAGATGTGTTTTTTCCTCTCCAAAGAAAAGGGTGGATGATAGAGCTACACACACCTTTTTATCTTCCACTTAGAGTTTTTACACATATATTCCTTGGCAAAAACCCCAGGGTCTTGTCTTTCCCCTCCCCTTCTCTCACCCCCTTTCCTGCCATCTCCCTTGCTATAACTCAGCTAACCCAACAGAACCAGTCAGTTTTAAATTTCAGTTGGGACCCCGGTGACCTGTTAATGAATCTACAGAGAGGAGAAAAACTCACAGTGTTGAGTTATGCCTGGTGTTGCTAGCTGACTTGGAGTCAGAAATGCTTGAAGCGTTAACGTAATTGCAAGAATGTGAAAAATGAAGCGTTGGGCTCCTGAGCAAAGCGAAAGGTCAAAGCAAGCCCTACACAAAACAAGTCTCTGGAAGATGGCCTCATTAGACCATTAAATCAGCTTCTCCTTTTTCTCCTTTGTAAGATGTTTAGAGTGTTTTATTTTTATTATTGGATACATTTAACTCTTTCCAGGGCAGGGGAAAATTGATCAGACCTGCTGCACAATCTTGAAAATAGTATTATAGAGCACTGATTTGCATTTGTGGATCTGAACTGGGATAAAGTCAATAAGTGCTTGGTGGATTACAGATCACTAGTACTTTGGTTTGCCAGATGATCAATATGTTGTATGGCTTAGTTTTCTGTTGAACAAGTGAGGTGACATGCTAAGAACAACATAGACACTCACCACTAATAAAATTAGGATAATCTTTCAACATTTACTGCCTGAAGGCCCTTTACTTAACTCTTCCAATGCCAGCATGTTTCTAATAATACCAAACACAGACTAGATTAACCCTTCTGATGCCAAAGGGCAGTGGTGCACTGTAGTGGAGAGACGGTCTCCATAAAGAGACAAAATGCCTACAGCTTTTTTATTTGATTCAAATAAAATGAAAGAATTTTGTATTGATTCTTCCAGGTAATAAATAGATCTACCTCATGCAGAGACAGTCTGCAAAAAGCAGTCATTATTCAAACAAATCCTTTCCATCTGCCCCTCCCCAAAATAAAATAAAAATAATAATAAAAGAAAATTTTAAAATCACAGGATGCAAATCATAGACTTATGGTAAAAGCAGAGACCCCTGGAAAGAGTGTTCTCAAAAGCCAGAAGAGACCGACTCTAGGATGAATCAATCTCTGCTGCCACCAGGCATTAGTGGAGAAGACTGTATGTTGCTAATGTAACCCAAGACTCTCTAATGAGCTCCCATTTCCAAGAAATCCTTTGGGGCAAGTGGAATTCTTGAAGCAGCATTTGTGGAAGCTCTTGGCAAAACTGCAGGGAAGCCAAGTTGACCCAAGTAAGTAACTGCACTGGAATAGCTCAAGAAGGCATCTATCCATCTTGGCATTGCCAAGGACCAGCTCACTGCCAGTTCAGGAATTATAAGGTAAACCCTGCCCCGCAGGAAGCAGGGGGGAAATTCAAGACAGACCTCACTCACTTTAGTCTTTCCCAGGATTGAAAGGGGGAGAGCAATCCAGAGCCATTTCCAATGGGAATTCTGCTGGTGTTACAGAATCATCTTTCAGTTGCCAGCAGCTGAACAGAACCGTGATTTGCCACTGGATGTCTGCTTCCCTTTCGAAGGCCCAGTTGAACACAAAGGGGAACATACTAGCAATGTTTTATCCTGCTAGGCTGGACAGCACTAGTAACTGATTTGGCCCTTCAGAGGTTGTTCCTCTTCTGCAGAAATGAATAACAGATTTGTTGAAATAATGCATATTGGCAGAAACCTCAGTTTCCAAAGGAAAGTTGGTGTCGTAATCATCAACTGCCTTTTCAAATGCTTAGCAATATTTCCCAAGCACCCTGAGTTACATGACAAGGGATCAGACTATGAAATGCAAGATCCCTGGATATTGATGCAAGGGATTTCTTTACATCAAGCACAGCTCAATTAGAGGACTTTCCTAATTTCTAAGGGGTTCCTGGGGCAGAGCGGCGATACAGGTGTGAGGAAACTTCCTCCCTAGGGGTGGAATGAAGATGGCAGACCACTCGAAGGAATCATTTTTAAGCATGCAAATCATCTGCTACACCCAGCACTTTAGCTACAATAAACCATGTAAACCATGTAAACCATGTAGACATTTGATCAACACTAAAGCCTGTGGCCAGGACATAACACTAATATGCTGCTCAGCAGTCAAGCTCTCCCTATCATAAGCTGGTGAAGCTGTGATTGTTCACGCTGGGTCTTGTATAGTTCCAATTTAATCCCATAGCAAAAAAAATCCTTGTGACTCATGTTGGAGTTGGATCACGCCCTATGCCATGGTTGCCTTCTATCAGCAATAAGATTACAAATGTATAGACAATTCTTACAAATAGGAGACAAAACCAAACCACTCTACCAGAAACAAACTTTTCAAGTTCCTAGAATCACAACGGGTACAACACCAGATCATCAGACAGATGAGGGGAACTAGCTCTGTGCCAAGCAGTGGGCCACGTGAGAGACATGAAATCACATATCTGTTCTGCCATCTAAGCATGGCAGCTATCACAGTGGGAAGCAGTCTGCAGCATGAGAATAGTCAAAGCATCTCTCACCCTGAAGGCTGCTCCTGTCTCCAGTTTTGGGATCCCGCATTGGATGTCAGCCCTGTCAGTTGGCTCTGCTGGGCACATGGGGTAAAATGCAGAGGCTAAGTACAGCAGATGCAGGAGAAACATCTCGTGATGAGACCATATCTTAAGGCCTTATAAAGGTAATCYCTCTCTCACTAGCAGAAGCTTACCATGTTTACAAAGAAAAACAAGAGTGAAGTCCACCTTAAACTCTGGACATAAAAAAAAAATTAACTAATAGTTAAGTTAATTAAATTAACTTTTGAGTCAAGACCAAAGAGTGACAGCAGGCTATCTTTACCCTATGTTTAGCACTGGAGGCTTGACTCTTACACCTTCTGGAGTCACTTATTCTTCTAATGAGCACGTGTAAAACACTACCATAAAAGAATGACAGCCTTTGACACTCACTCAGCATGGATGCAGATGACCACACATAAGGTGCAATGCAGTAGGAAATAAAACAAAACACTCTGAAATAATAATCAAATCTCCTGAACCATTGAGAATGTTTCACTGTATGTAGATAACAAAGAGGCTTTGCAGTTCAGGYACATCTCTATTTACCATTCAGAAATCAGATTTTCAGAAGCAGAAAGAAACAAGTCTGTATGAGCAAACTTCACAAAACATTTTTCTGTCCAATTCTGTTTTGCTTCTACTTTATATAATTTAGCAGCTTCATAACTTCACGTAGAAGTCTCTTTCCCAGATAAAACCACAGGTTAAACTCTCCATCTTTAATCCAACTCAAACAACTGCACTGCAGCTGGAGAGTATGTCTGTCATTKTATTTACTTACACCACACAAAAATAAACTGTAGATAACCAAATTTGTAAAGGAATTGGCAGAACTAATCAATTGTTATTACAAAGCTTGTTTGAAGATTAGATATTTCGCTTTGAAATAATAATAAAATGCAGCTAAGTGGGTTAGGAAAAGGAAATACCGTCTCCCTAACTTACAGCTGATTATACTGCAAGTCTGCCACTCCATGTTTACTCTAAGGCAGATGTACTGATATAATGAAAAAAGCTGGAGTTATTTTAGTCATGCCTACTTTGTGGAGGGAAAAAGTTTGACCTTTTACCTTGCTCGCTGCTGTTGTCTCCACTCTGGGAAGCGTGGCCCCCGCTGGAGGGCCCTGGTGTGCCTGCCGAGTGCGTTGAGGTTGCATCATCGTGGTCTCTCCAAGATGAAGGATTCTGGTGTCAGAGTGCCAAAGAATTTTTTCCACGGTTCCCATTCCAATAGCAAATGAAGAACAGAAAGAAAGCCGGGAGAAGAGGGGAGGAAGGGGAGGAAAGTATACACATTAACATTTRTGAAATGTGCCAAACACCTATACTGTTTGCACAGTGTAATAATTCTTCAGCAAAGGCAAGCAGAGGAGATACAAAGATTTACTTGTTAAAACACAGGACAGATTTTTTTTCTTTTTAAAACTTTCCACAGAGTAGTCTGGATTTAATTGTTTGAATAGTACTGGAAAACAATATTCCAGGAGAGACAAAAAAAAAACATAAATACAGTTTCTTAAGGAGCTCTACAGGGTGGTGAGGGGCAAGTGAGAGAAGAGCATCTACCTGCATAGTTTATGATACAAAGAGTTCTCATTAGGATTAGATAGTTGGTATGCAAACTATCTCCACACACTTCGTTTTTCCAGACTGACTACAGCTGCAACAGGAGGAGGGAAACGGTTTCATGAAGCACAGGAGGACACACATGAGCGAGGAGTGTGTCCTCACTCTCTAACTTCTCTGTCACCCATTTAAATGCTGGAAAAACTTCCAACAAAGTCAAAGTTGAGAGGGGAAAAAGCAAGCTTTCTCTGAAAGACATATACCAGGAAAGATGCTTCCTCAACCCCAGCCACCACCTTGACACGACACATTTCAAAAGACTTTCTAGATTTATCACTCTAACAGTTCACTTACAAGGATTGTCAAGAATAACTACCAGGTGATTATATAAAATAACATGTGTAGTGATTKTTATGTAATTCTTTCTACATTACTATGCATAAAACGCTACAAAGGGAATACAGAAGACAGGCTTACAAAGTTTGCAAAACTTGGCTAAGTAAGAACTGAACTATTGTACTTAAGTCACATAATTAATGTACACTTTCTAATTTACTGGGTATTGACTTTCCCGGAGAGAGGAGCTGCTCTTYAAAAGGACAAGTGAGGAAAACTTAATGTTACAGTTTAGTGCTACTTTGTTGAGTGTATTCTCCTCCTGTCCTCCTCCCCTTTCCTGATCATTCCCAATACCCTGCTGTTGCTTAAAGGAAAACAGGAATTCTACTGTACAGGAAGAGCTTTATCAGCACCACATGAAGGCAGGCAAGAGATGGAATTTCCTCTGGCAGAAAGGAGAGCAAGAACACATGAAACAGATCAGAGTAGGGGTTGGACCTGCATTACTTGTCACCTGCATGCAACAACTTAAAATTGAGTGCATTATAATAATTATTCAACAAAACAAACAACAAATCTCCCCTCAAAAAAAAAAAAAAAAAAAAAAAAAAAGCTTCTTAGGTTTGACTGTGGTTTAAATCTGCATTGTGAAATAACACTAGATTGTTAAAGCTGAAAGCAGCAAGTGACAAGTTGGATAAAATCTTTTAGTGGGACTGATTCTGACCTAATCTAGTTCACCGTGTAGTAGGAATAAGTTCTACGTAATCAACTGATTTACCCATTGTAAAACACAGTGTAAGTGTGATTGGGACCAAGTCCCAAAACCTATATTGAACCATCTCAAAGTAATCTTCTAGCAGTGATTAGTACCACATGCTGAATAGCAATGCAGAATAGAACTGCCAAGTAACCGTTTGCTACAATACCCAGCAACATAAATCTGACGGGCCTGACCTGGATCGCAGCAGAGACAAAGAAAAGAGCCCACGACTTCAAAAGGCTCCCAGGAAAGTCTCGGGTGACCAAAGGGTAAGAAGGAGCCAAATCTCCTTCACCTTAAACGGACAGACACACACATACACCCACATATGCGGTTCCATGACAGGAAGACATGAGTAAAATCAGAAGACAGGTCAGGATCTGAAATTTGCCTAACCTGTCAGCACAGCAGGCAACACAACAGCACTTATGGCACAAAATCACCACCCCCTCCAAAACCTAGAAGACTGATCTACTTTTCCTCACACAGAACTACAACAGGAGAAACCTGCCACCAAATCACCACTATTTTATATTCATTGAGGTTATTGTGTCAATTTTCTCTAATTAATACTGTAATTCCCCACAATTTCCTTTAAAACACAAAAAAAAAAACCAAAAAAGCAAATAAAACCCCCACATTTTACCATTTTTCAGAGTCAGGTGGAGAGAAACACAAAAAGAAAGATGTGAAGTCTTGAAAGTTGAAGCAGCCCAGATGTTATTAAAAAGAACAGAAAAAGTTGAAAATAAGGTTAGCAAAAAGTTCAGATGGAAATAAAATACAAAAACGGAGCAAGTTTCTTTACAGCCTGGATTAAAACACAGTCGTGCCTATGAGCTTCTCTTTTTATCTCTGACTTAGGAAGCCACTCAAATAGCTTCAAGCTGAAGGCAAACAGCAGACAGGAGCTCTTCAGCCCTCTGCAGCCTCTTAGCGTCAGCTGTTTGCCGGATGGTAATCAGATAAAGAGCTAGAAGAAATACATGAAAAAGGAAAGAAACAATAGCATAGCATGAATTTAGCCCTCAAACAACATCGTGCTGGAACCTTCTTTTAGAAAATGTAGTAATTGCAACATGTTCATCTAGGCTAAACTTTTCAGGGAACACAGTAAGTTATGCTAATTTTGTGTACTGCGGGCTCTCTTGCGCTGGCTGCTGTTGGAGCTCCTTATCACATGTACGAAAGTTACAATAATTAACTGGAAACAGCTCAGCTATGTTTTAAGGTGAATGTCATCCAAAACCTATCATACAATATTTCAAAAGCTAGACTGGCCTTTCTGTTTCAAAGCCATAAAAATTTGGAAAGGATCACTGAATGACACTTCCCACAGCTGAAAACACTTGCTGTCTCTACCAGGCTGAGTTGTTCTTGACCTCAGTTAGTAGATCCCTTTTGAGAAAGACAGACTGTATTGATTGAGAACTCAATGTATTTCTTGAGACACAGTTTTCTTGAGGAAGCAATTTGGTAGAATTTTGTTGAAGGACAGAAAATACAAGATAAGATACTTACTAAATGCGACAGTAGAATGTTGAAGGAATTTGCAAGGGAGGGAAATAGTTTTAATATTATAAAAAATGACAATTCTAGGTGTGGAGTTAACAGACTCATAAAAAGGCAGAATTCTTTTGCTTTGGACTAAGAGTATTGTACGTGTCAGTGAACTGCTCTTTTTCTCCCCTAGACCATTTCCATCCTCACATCCCTCAAGAAAAAATACTTGGCCAAATGACGAATCATAAGTAGTTATTTTATGCACATCTTCATAAAAAAAAAAAAAAAAAAGATAAAGTTTTATTATATACTTTGCAGAAACACACTGAAGAGTGTTGATAATGTCTGACAAAATGCAATTACCTATTTTGTGTATGTCTGCATACCAWAAAAATTTCTCACGTGTATGACCTAAGCTAATGCCAGATACCATAGAAAGTGAACAGCACACATGTATCTATTCCCAGTAGTTTTAATAATTGGGAGCCAAATATGGTACTCCTCTTGCTCTTACCTAATTGTGTTAAAGAGCAGTGTTACTGGGAGAAAAGCAGTGAATACTGAGCAGAGCACAATAGAAGGAGATGGAAAATAGATACAAGAAGCTATGTCTCCAGGGGCAGTATTTTCTATTTGCTGGGCTACAGACTCACAGCTGATAATGCAAGTTGTAATTAATATAAAAGCAGGAGACAATATGGGGAAAGCTTGTACTAGCAGGGCCACAGGAGATCACTCCACTGCTATCCACCGTTTCTCATTTACACGCACGATCTTCCCTAGAAAACACAATTTTACCAGTGTTTTTTTTCCCTTGAAAGTTAAAAAAAATAGATTTAGCWCCACCATGGAATTTTGCTAAATCTAGAAAAGAGCAACAAACAGGACAAAAGGCGTACAAAGCCAATCTGACACATTACTCTTTTGTTGATGCTGAAAATCTGTTGGAAACTGTAAGAGTTTTTAACATCTCTTGAACAGAGATGTTGTAACAGAGAAATTTGATATAGGATAACCTTCTGATAAATTGCAATTCTTAATTTGTATATCCAAAATATCAGCTGGGCAAAGTCTGGCTACCTTTTTGTGAGTGCATGTAGTCCAGCTAGGGCTGATTCTGATCTCATAGTGCTTTTTATGGTGTTATTAAAGACTCAATTAACCATAAGGAATCAGCTTCTTATTTATAACTGGGAAGTAAAATCAATCAGGCCAGCTGATACCCATGTGAGTAAGCTGAGCAGGATTTGGCTCACAGATTTTAACTGAAGTTTTAAGTATACAACTCTGACAGAATCAGGCCCCAAAATAATTTTATCAGATGAAATTAACGAAGTCATTAATCTTGAAAGAAGAAATAAAATACAACTTGTTTTTATAAAATAAACCACYTTGGCTATAAAACTTACTATTTCTAAAGGTGGTTGGACTCTAAGGGTCTGGTAAATTAATTTTGCGAGCACAAAACTGAACTGAACTACTTGATACAGATGGCATTATCCCCTCCAAACACAATCCAAATCCCGCTCACCCTACTCTTACAAGTAACCTGTGTAAACACAGCGGAATGACTGACATGACTGATACCCCAAAAATCTGTATCTAGGTACCACAACATATAAAAATATGAAAGACTATGCAGGGCATGAAAATGTATCGCAGGCATGCACGGTGTTTCTGCGTATGCATGTGTGTCTATTGTTGTGTGCTGTATTGTTGTGTGTTATGTGTTTTGTGCGCGTAAAGTTCAGGATTTGTCTTAGAAATCATGCTGAGTGCATTTAATAATAAACATGCTATTTAAGGAAACATTCAATAAGGAAATAAGACATGAAAAACTCTAATTTGATGCAAAAYGTGTGTTTTCTAAAAAAGACTACTCCTGGTATTGCTAAGGTTTATTTTCCTACAGATGCTACTTAATATGATTACTTTTTTGCACTAGAATTACACAATTGAAACAAAGCCAAGGCACTACAATCCATCAGATATTTTTGTATATATGTAAAAATTTTAATTCTTGATTTTGCATTTGAGGAAAGTATCAGGAGCAATTTTTGACCCTCCTAGAACATGACARTGGTTTGAAAAGCTGCGGTGTTTTGTATTATCTAATTAAGATTGAAATCAGACATGTAATCCCCCTGTCACCAAGGAACTGAGACTTGAAAAATCAGTGGGTTGATGGTTTTTTTTTTAATTGTCCTTCTATGTCATTCTGTGTGGCTACACTTCATCTAGACTGATAGATGGCTCAAACCAAAAAGGGAGCACAGTCATCAAATTTGTAGTGAAATACATTATTGGTCCAGTTTGAGAGAGCAGAGTTTAAAATTAAAACACTCAAATTTGAGCTGTAGACTCAAATTTGAGACTTCAGCTGTTGACAAAGGAGTACCTTGGTTCATCAAAAAGCAGGAATGCACAACACTATCTACAGCCTTGGAAAGTTTCTGATGCTCCTTGGCCCTTCAGAAAGCACAGGGCCTAYGGCAGTGTTTGAAGTCTTAAGCTACATTCTAAGTTTGTCTTATTATTGTTGCTGTTAGCTGCTTAATTTTCCTTCTGACACACAACAGACAGAAAGAGCACCTTTGGGGTCTGATCTGATGTTTCTCAAAACTCCCACTGAAGTCCACGAAAGTATGGCATACCTGGAGACTGTAGCATCGGGCACCCAATTACGTCTTCATTACTCAGTGAAATCTTGCCTAAAGATTTCATTATATTACTGAAATAGATATGTATTACCCTATTTTTATTTTTCCTTATCTGCAAAATGTCAGGAATTTGCACAGAYCATTCTTCTAGGAGAAATATTAAAGAAATGTAAGTCTGGATATCCAAAAGTACAAAATAAAATATCTCCTCATGTAAGAGCTGAAAGGTTTAATATTCAGATTAATCTTTCTCTTATACAGCTAAGACCTTGGATTTCTAATCTGTCAAGAGCCATTTTTATGAAAGAAATGTTTGTGTATTTCTCTCYATTTTTAATTTTATTTTAGGAATTATGATCTGTATATTATTACYCATGAACTGCAAATTGACTAAAACATATAAACAAACATCAAAAAGACTGAGGCCCTGATCTTGTTCCCACAAAAGCCAGTGGAAGGAGAKACATAAATTTCTATGGAAGAATTTGTGCTAAAGGAAGAACTGTATGACACCAGGTGTGACCAGGTACAAAAGATGTAATTAAAGTACAAAATGTTATCATATCCTCAAAAAATTTTATCCTCCAAATTTTCTAAGCATTGTTTTTCAGATTTGAATAGATAGAAATGAGAAAAAAAATCTGTCAACAATCTCATCAGACATTTTAGGCTGAACACAGAATGCAGTATAGGGCCCAGAATGTGTAGTTGAACAATCATAAATTGTCTTTGCTGGGAAACCAAACTTGAACTGCAGCTGCAAAAGGGCTTTTTTCTCTTTTCTTATCTTTTTTTCTCCCCACTAACTAATCTGGTTCAGCCAGGGCATAGCTGTAATTACCTTCTTCCCATCTACAGCTAATACCTCAGAGCAATAAAAAAAAAGAGGGTGTTAAAAATTCAAACACTAATTATGGGCTGTTATATTTACTAAACACAGCAGAGTAATAACAAAAGTTYTAACTTCTTCTGGCCAGCACTGCACTATTTGATCTACCAAGTCCCTGGACCCTTACACTAACTATATTACATAACAGTTAATAGTGCACTAAAATAAAATTCAATAAACACATTTGTTACCAAACATGTACAGCACAACCGCTTACAGCTGTCTCCTTTTCCCAGCACAGGTATATCTCTGAAGAGTTCATTCCTTTGTTGTTTTTGGTTTTGGTTTCCAATTAAGTTATACAAATAGCAAAGAAGTAGATTTTGAAAGGGGAAGCATGCACTATTTGAGTAYCCCATCTAAAGTCTTATGGTAAATATTGGTTAATCCTACAATTCTTTCTGCTACTTTCCTTCGTGCCTTTTTTAAGGTCTACAAAAACAATAAAGCTGAGAGCTGCCTTAGTTCTCAATTCAGCACCACCACTGTCACTACTAGCACCTCTCACATTCACATTAAACACACAGAGGGTAGCTTTACACCACTTAATAACAATAGAGGGGTATGGATTTTTGGGGTGTCAAACAGCTGTCACAAACTGTCACCTCCACAAGAGAAACCTTGGCACACAACAAATTAACCTACTCTTCTTTTGGGCTATCATTATTCATAGCCAATCAGTTGAAATGCTCCTAGTATTTCATGTGCAAATAAAACCATGAGGGGAAGACCCGCGGATCAGAATAGTGGGCCAATACATGAAACAGAGGAAACAACATGCTGTCTCTGTCCTTCTGAAGTGGCTCATCATCACCCCTGCACCAACTTTCACCAAATGAGATCTAGCCTAGGGCTACATATTAAATATGCATATCAAGGCAAATGAAAAAAATAAACCTGGAGAGCCAAATTGGATAAATTTGCATGCTTGAACTGCTACATTTTCAGGTAGATGCTAGAAATGATTTTTTAATAGACTTGCATGTTTATATTAGCCAATTTTTAAAGCTTTTCCTTTTCTATGAATAAAAGTGCATTTCTTCCTGCTGGAACCTTGTACAGTACAAATATAAAACACAATAGTTTGAGTAAGCTATAAAAGAGTGTTAAAGTTTTGTCAGGAAAACAAGCTAATATACAAAAAAAAATCCAATAAGGAGACACATTTCCCAAAACGCATGAATAAAATGTAACTACGTGAYACAACTCTTCATTTCCCAGTTGGTGTTCTGGTTGCACAAATTATTGCTTCCTTTCAAAACAAATAGCAGGGGGCTAAAGTAAAAATGTTATAGCTCAAATCTCCAGGAAATAAAAGGCTTTAAATTATAATACCCAATGAAGTGGTAAACCCTAACGGGTGCAAGATAAATGGGTTGTCATATTTATTTGAGTTTGTTTTTGAGGCCACAAAAGCAAGAGGAGATTCTTCTTAGGGAAGATAATAGTTACCAAATTATCAAAATGCTAACCCCCTCCACTCCTGTCCTATCATTGTGTGTGAATTTAAATATTATAATGGAGCACTGCAAATTGGCTTGAGCATTTGCCATCTGCCAGAACCCTAAACAGGCTAGTTTATCTAATCTCTTCAATATAAACATAAGCATGCTCCATTTCTACACTTCCACTTGAAACACACTCTTGTAAAGAAACTGTACTGGAGAAACACGTATTTTTTTCCCCTGTTTCTCTAAATTTTACACAATGACTCACTATCTTTCAGGTTGCCACTCATTTAGATTTCTTTTCTAGTACTCTCCCAGAATACTTATGCCCACGAATTTAGGGTTGTAAAATGCCATGAAACAAATATTTTTGAAATTGTGTCTTGCCTCATGGAGTTTATTATCTACATGTGAGTTAGCTGATAAGCAGAGAAACTTTAAGGAAGCTCAGCAAACATTTTTTCTCTCAAAATAATAGGTTTAAAATGTAAAACATAACASAAACCTTGTCATGCAATGTTTACTGAATACAAATGAGAAAATGAAAGCTAAGGCTTGGGTCCAAAAATATTTCCCATAACTAAGCCATGCCAGAAGGGGGACATTTAGAAGAATTTATTATTATTTTATCTCCCAATTCAGCATCAGCCCAGGTCTAATGTAATTACCAAACACACACAAAAACAACATGTTTTCAAAAGAAACAAAAGCTTCTAGAAAGCTCATTCTCCCTGGGCTTCCAGCTACACTTCTTAACACATTGGGAAATAAAGGCAGGCGCCTGTGCAGAAGGCATGGTTAACTTCACACCGGGTGTTAAATTAATATTTCAACCGCTAAAATATTAGACTCTATCATTAGATTATTAGTTCAATTGAATCTAAAACTGTATAAACCCCTTTGCCCCCCAGGGATACGTTCCTATAAATAAAGCAGGGTTCACACCCACTCTTTTTAACCAGAGCTATTCCTTCCCTTCTGCGGTACCAGCTGCAATCTTTCCCTTCACATCCCGAAGTCTCTCTGCATCTACATATTTTGAAGGATCACAAGAGCYGCTCCAAAACCCGGAAAAACAAAGGCACTCTTCTCACCACGCACACCAACATTCAGTCCCACACATATTACACTAATTCACCAACTCCTAAAGTGTTAAAATCAGCCACTAACCTACGGTTACTCAATCATCATTCTCTCCAGCTTTCTGTAATACATCGTTAATAATTGCTTCATCAAGGTTACTGTCTTTTATTATGAAGATGCTTCAGGCATTTGGCAATAAGTCCATATTCTGACAATAAGTTGCTATAAAGCAAAAGCATTGGAAACTCTAATGTGCTAACCCCTTTTTTTTAATGCAGTGTAGTATTGCCAATAAYTCTCATCACTTGTCATCCCCACCAGAGGGGAGGGGGGAGCAAATCAGCAAACTTTCTTCCTAACTTTCTTGTCTCTGTTTCCTTACATTGATGCATTGATTACAAAGTTGGCAAAGAACAGGAGAAAGCACCGATCTCCTCATCAAACCGACAGTTTGCTAGCTCTCCAAGCCTCCCAGACCAGGAAACTTTACAAACCATTGCAAACTCGATGCTTTACTGATGGAAACTGAAGGAACCTTTTGCATTTCTACAACTTTACAAAGTGAGAGGGAAGAAAGTGTGAAGATGGGATTCRAGCTTGCAAGAGGTTAAAGTAGTAATAATACCAATAGACAACAGCAGGAGAGCAAGRAAATCGGGAACAGGTCCTCTAAGCAGGTTTAAGACTTAAAAAGTACCATAAAGAAAACAGAAGGACTTACATGATCGGCTAAATTTGTGGAAGATCCTGAGAGTTCTTCATGGTCTGATTTGGAGCTGCCATCCCTTTCATCAATTACGAGGTCTATTGGCATTTTTCCTTTCAAACAACTAATGTACCGATGGCAGAAGTTATCACACAATTCATGAACCTGAAAAGAATAACAAGAATAATAGAATCACTAATGGCAAAATATCGTATTTCAAGTTTTTTGGGGTTTTTTGGGGG